CCTCCCACAGCTTTGATCTTTTCCGGGCCTCTTCGAAATTCGCGTCGGGAATTTTCAGGGACTTGAATTAAAAAGCGGAACTCTTTGATCACCGACGAAAACGGAGCGCCGAAAAAAGAGAAATCTTTTAACTTCCCGGTGGATTCCGAACTTAATTAAATTAGAAAAAAAAAACTCTGCTCTCTCTTTTCCGGTCAGTAAGCTTCACGAATTACATAAATTTCCATACTCCCAGGTTATTTTCCACGACCGTTGCCGAATGTATCCGGATTTTGAATCGGTGATGCAACGTGAGCGAGATCAAAGATACAGCATTCGAGAGGACGCACTAGCTATCCGAGTGAGATAAACGGACTCAGCAAACGTTGATGCCGGGGATCAACATTATATGTGATGAAATAGTGTTTGCTGATCGACGTGTTGAGAAGCGTTCTTCAACTACTGATGACTGATGAATGTCGGGTTGGGTATCTTGCCGACAAAATCTTCCGAACCAGGTCTTGCTTGCGAAACCAATTTTTCAAGACGTTGCTCCACAATCATCATTTTGCGAGAAATAAAGTTTTGATGCCGAAAATAACGTTTACACTATGTGAAACAGTATCAGTCTGGATGATAAAGAAGTTTTCAGGAGATTACGTTGATTAGTTTTCCGACGGAAAAATAAAGTATGGTATGGTATTGCAGGAAGTCTGCCACTTTGTAAACAGATACGTGGTTTCTCACTTTAGCCATCGATATAATATCTACACTGAAAAAACTGGTATGCTGTTTCACCACATTTTTGACATCTTAGGCGCTAAAACAGCATATTATTTTTTTCAGTGACATGCTAAGACTGTTCAATTCGCACTCATTCACGTCCCTTTGATATGTGTCCAAACATCCTGCGTCTTCAGAAGCTCCTCACCCTAAATCCTTGTGTCTTTCCCTATTTTTTCCCGCCAAATTAAATTTCCTGTGATTTCCCGATCACCGGAAATCCCGAAGGGACCCGCGCGCGCTCCAGGACTCCTCGATCCTCCCGCAAGTTCCCTGGCCCGCGGCAACCCCGCCTCGACGAAGAAAAGAGAGCACGTATGAAGTGGGATAATTTAATGCAGGGGGAAACGGCACCACGAAATAATTTTGAATCAACGCAGCTCGCCGCATTGATATTCATGATTTAAACCGAAAGTCCGAGGGACGCCTGACGCGGAGCGAGACCCTGGGGACAGAGACGCGGGGGGGGGGGGGGGGAGTCTTTTCGAGGGGACTTGCAAAAGTACACCGCTCATAATTGACTCCAATCGATAGCCGAGGCGGGTTCTCACGGCGGGTTGCCAACTTGCCTACGCTGAGCGCTGAAGGGGCAACTTACGGATGCACCCTTTACATTCGCGCGCTGTTAGAGATGGGCCGATCATTCGGCGTTAAATTATTTACTTAAAAAGGAGTGGTGCATTCAGGGCTGACCAGATGGTGGGGGAGGGGCAAAAGGGTCTTACAGCCTGCGCACACTGGAGTCGAATTGGCTCTGACAATTTGAGACCCCGTGTGAAAGCAAAATTTTTTTGTTTTATCTAAGTTTGGAGGCACCTCTGGCCCATTTGAAAATGTGTGTAACATTTGGATTACATTTTGCAATAAGGAACCACTACCTTTAGCTCTTCTGTAAAAGCACCTTTCTGCATACGGAAACCAATTGCATATATGTTGTTGAGCAATAAATAGTGGTTCCTTATTGCAAATTGTGGTCCATTTGTAGGTATTTGTTGTAGGTGTTTTCGCGTTATAATTAAAGCTATTCAAAAGGCTTGCGATTTTCCTCGAGTAAACTTAAAATTGCATCTCTAGAACTTTGAAAATTTCCAGAAGGAGGCCCAACCACCCTTCTTATCCAGCCGTGGGCTTCCCCATCCCCTAGACCCCTCGGGGGCCATTCATTTTAATTAATCCCATGCAGACCCTATATTGTGCGTTAATACCTGGTATGTTGATCGTATTCGACAATGGTCTTATAAGGATTAACAAAGTGGATCAACTAACCAGGGTATAAATACGAATTTGCAAAAACCGCCAAAAAGGGTTGAAATATCACTTTTTTGGTCAGGTCAGATCAAGTTAGGTTAGGTTAGGTTAGGTTAGCTTAGCTTAGCTTTTGTTAGTTCCCTTGCTATTTGATTGGATCGACATACAAGGTATGTATACAAGTGCGTGCTTGGGCGGTTCTGGGACCCTTTGGTGCATACGACGCACAGTGGAGCGAGCAGTGGCGTGGCGTGCTTTGCGATATATCGATTATTCTGCCATTTAAGCCTATGGTAAAGAATCGATTATTAAGGTGTACACCCTGATTATCGATCCTTTTCCATAGGTTTAAATGACATAACGATCGATATATCGCAAATCACGCCACGCCACTGGGAGCGAGTCACTTGGGGCTAAATTGGGGCCTGCATTTTTGGGCTAAAGCTGCAGATTTTTGTGTTCATTTCGTGGAATTTTATATTTCAAGGTAGATTGAGGTAGAAATGTGACGAGGAGACCAACGAAGCCACTTTTAAAACATCAACATTTCATACTGACGAAGATATACGCTTACGAAGTTTTTAAATCATGTCTAACTTCTCCCATCGACTCGATCCACCGTGCGACGAAACAGATTGAGGTATCGATGTATCGAAATTGACCCGAACGATGACAAAATCTCGCCTAATGTTATGGATGAAAATAAATCTACATGCATCTCGAAATCGATAGTTGGAGCGACGCAGATTGAAACGAGTCGATATGAGGTCGTCATTGCAGATTTCGTCGCTCCTCTGACATAAGGGCGTATCTCGAATTCCACTAGAGCCCTGTTTTACATTTAAA